AACGAGGGAGAGTGGGAGGAAGGGAAGGGGAGGGACGAAGGAAGAGGGGAAACGCCAGGCGAGAAGGAGCGAAGAGGGGGGCGGTTGATTAGAGGCAGAGAGAGAGAGAGAAAAAAAAAACAAAAAAAAAAAAAAAAGAGAGAGAGCGAGGGGAGAGAGAGAAAAAGAGAGACAGAAAGAAAGAGGGAGGGAGGAGGCAGAGGAGGGGAGGGAGAAGGGAGGAGGGAGAAATGAGAGGGGATAAGGCTTCGGGCATAAGGAGGATGAGAGAGAAGAGAAGGAGGGAAAGGAGAAGAGGGAGGAGGAAGGATGGAGGAGGAGAGGAGAAGGATGGCGGGAAGGTAAATAAAAAAAAAAATTAAGAAAAAAAATCAAAAAAATACAATAAAAAGAAGAAAAAGGAAAGAAACGAAAAAAGAGAAAGGAGAGAAACAAAAAAACTCAAAGAAATGAGAGAAAAAAAAACAAAAAAAAGCAGAATAACATAGCACAGAAATAAAAGAAAAGAGGTAACGAAAAAAAGAGCGTGAAACCGTTCGAGGAAGTCCGAACGAAAAAAAAAACAAAAAAAAAAAAACAAAAAAAAAAAAAAAAAACAAAAAAGCGGCCGTACGGAATGAAGTCTCGGGTGGGAAAAATGGTCGAGGTGAAAGAAAAAGGAAGAAAAGAGAAAAAAGAAAAAAAAAAAAAAGGAACAAGAGAAAAAAGAAAAAAAGAAAAAAAAATGAAAGGAAAAGGCGTCCACGACGGGCGGGCGATCCCCTGACGGGCGGGTCGGGCGGGTGGGACATTCAAGCGGGATGCCTGAGTATGGCGAGAGCGCGATTCCTCAGTAAATTGTGACGGCGTCCTTGGCGCAGCGTGTTTCCTGAGCGTCGAAACCGCGATTTCAAAATAAATTGCATGGAAGTCACAGGCGAGAGCGCAATTCCTGAATCAAATGTGAGGGGTTCTCTGGCGGGAGCGGGAGTCTTGATTAAATTGTGACGAAGTCTTGACTCAATTGCGAGGGGGTCTCAAGCGGGAGCCTGTTCCTGAGCAAATTGTGAATAAGTTTTCGATGGAGCGGGGTCCTGATTAAATGCCGAGAAAAGTCACAGTCGGGAGCACCGATCCTGAGTAGAGTGTAAGGGAATATCAGGCGGGGGGTCCTGAATAAATTTGGAGAAAATCTCAAGCGGGAGCCGCTGTTGTTGTAAACCGGGGGCCAACGACTTCAATCGAAAAAACCATGTGCATCAGATGGAGGGATCAATACAAATTATTCTTCAGAAAGGAAAGTTCAACAACAACAACAACAACAACAACAACAACAACATTCATTCTAAGACTGTTCGCTCTTACTTGCCCGTGCGTCATTCAAAACAAGTTCCCCACACCCTCGGTACCCGCCCTTTTTGTCTTCGATCACACCTCCTTTGGGGGGATTATTTCTCTTTGCGGGGGGGCGGCGGGCTTAGACAGGCGGGCAAACCTGAACAAACAGGCAGTCCTTCGCGGGCGTACATGTGCCCGCCATTGGAATTGGTGTGGGCCCTGCAAAAAAAGGAGGGGGAGAACGAGGGAGAGTGGGAGGAAGGGAGGGGGAGGGACGAAGGAAGAGGGAAAACGCCAAGAGAGAAGGAGCGAAGAGGGGGGCGGTTGACTAGAGGCAGACAGAGAGAGAGAAGGGAGAGAGAGAGAGAGAGAGAGCGAGGGGGGAGAAGAGAGAGAGAGAGAGAGAGAAAAAAAAAAAAAAAAAAAAAAAAAGGGGGGAGGAGGCAGAGGAGGAGGAGAAGGGAGGAGGGAGAAAATGGAGGGATAGATCAGAGAGGCATAAGGATGAGAGAGAGAAGAGGGAAAGAGAGAAGGGAGAGAGGAGGGGCAAGGAGGAGGGAGAGGGAGAAGGAGCAGGAAGGTAAGAGCGTGACCGTTCGAGGAAGTCCGAAGCGAAAGCGCCGTTCCTGAAGGAAGTCTCGGGCGGGAGCCCACGACGGGCGGGCGATCCCCTGACGGGCGGGTCGGGCGGGTGGGACATTTCAACGGGATGCCTGAGTATGGCGAGAGCGCGATTCCTAAGTAAACTGTGACGACGTCCTTGGCGCAGCGTGTTTCCTGAGCGTCGAAAGCGCGATTTCTGAATAAATCGCATGGAAGTCACAGGCGAGGGCGCAATTCCTGAATAAAATGTGAGGGGTTCTCTGGCGGGAGCGGGGGTCTTGATTAAATTGCGAGGGGGTCTTGATTCAATCGCGAGGAAGTCTCAAGCGGGAGCGCTGTTCCTGAGCAAATTGTGAATAAGTTTCAGATGGGAGCGGGGGTCCGGACTAAATGTCGAGAAAGTCACAGTCGGGAGCACCGATCCTGAGTAGAGTGTAAGGGAATATCAGGCGGGGGGTCCTGAGTAAATTTCGAGAAAATCTCAAGCGGGAGCCGCTGTTGTTGTTGTAAACCGGGGGGCCAGGGGCCCAGTTTGAGCACGATGACTTTCCCTGTCAAAGACCAGGGTGCGAGCGTCGCGGGACACACTTTGATTGAGAAAAACAGCATGCACTGGTGAGGGGGATCAACAATAATTATTCTTCAGAAATGAGAGTTCAACAACCACAACAACAACAACAACAACAACAACAACAACAACAACAACAACCACGACGACGACGACGATGACGATGACGACGACGACGACGACGACGACGACGACAACGACGACAACAACGACAACAACAACAACAACAACAACAACAACAACAACAACAACAACAACGACAACAACAACAATCAAACTACCCTCATGCGCAATTGTTCCACACGAAGCATGCGACCATCATGCTAACCATCCCCATCATGGGGATTGTTGTTCTATAAAGGGGTCATTTATTCCCATTCCCATATCTCCCGCCCAATGAGGTATTGCAAACACTTCCTCCGAAGAATTTCAACATATCCCGCCCCGAAAACGCATGCCCGCGCCTTGCTGCGCCCATGCGAGAACGCCAGTGGAGCCCCAGCCAAGGGTAAAGCACAACGAAGTATCGAGCGACAGGATTGCCTTGGTGGGGATGGGGGCTGTCGGCGGCGAGACAAGGACCTGGCCCTGAATAGAAAGGGAGGAAGTCTCGAGCAGGGCCGCTATTTTTGCTGGGGGCGGCGCCAATGCTGAAGAGAGTCTCGAGCGGGAACGCTGGTTTTGTTGGGACGGCGGTTGTCGGCGGCGAGGAACAACACCGCCTTGAGTAAGAAGGGAGGAAGTCTCGAGCGGGAGCCGTGGTTTTGCCGGGACGGGGGCTGTCGACGGCGAGGAACAGCACCGTCCTGAAGAAAAAAAGAGGAAACCTCGAGCGGGAGCGCTGTTCTTGCTGAGAACGGCGCCAATTCAAAAGAGAATAGGGCGCCAGTCCAGCGTAAAACGGGAGGAAGTCTCGGGCGAGAGCGCTGGTTTTGTCGGTGCGGCGGTTTTCGGCGGCGAGGAGGAGCACCGCATTGAGTAAAAGTCTCGAGCGGGAGCGTTGTTGTTGCTGGGGGCGGCGCCGATGAGAGAAAGAGCAGCGCGCCAGCCCAAGGTAAAACGGGAGGAAGTCTCGAGAGGGAGCGCTGGTTTTGTTGGGACGGAGGCTTTCGGAGGCGAGCAAGAGCACCGGCCTTGAGGAAAAAACAAGGAAGTCTCGAGCGGGAGCGTTGTTGTTGTTGTTGTTGGGGGGGGGCCGGTTTTGGCGGTCCCCCAAACCGCTCGAGCGTGAGCCTCATTTTCAATGAAAATGCAGCCGGCACCGAGGCGAGAGCGTCAAAGCGCAACAAGCAGAATTCTCACCACTAATTCCCTATTCAGCCACGCACTTAGGGACAATGAATGACCGTTCGCCCCCCTCACTCTGATAATATACCATGCCACTCAGCATCAATAGACGACGTCCCAGGAAGAAGACGATGAAAGTGCGACATCATTTCTGCGTCATTGGGCCCTGAGCTGAGCTCGAGAGGAGCGTGGATCGGCATCGTCTCAGAATCAGTCAGCATCGAGTCGGGAGATCGCATCGGATCGGAATGTGCGCAAGATCGGGCCGCATCGACGCAAAGTCGGAATCGGATCGGAACGGCCGCGCCATCGCATCGTCGGAACATCGGAATCGAATCGGATCGGGCCAGCCGGAATCGACATCGAATCGGATCGAGTGGACCCTAAGGTGGGTCGGCATCATCGTGCGCCGCGAGGAGCAAAGCCGTCCACAGCCACGGCGCAGGGGAAAGAAACCTGCCCGAGCCAGCAGCGAAGCCGAAACCGACCGAGGCCGAATCTGCCGTAAGCGGCCGAGGAGGGCGCAGCAGCGCTGCCACGGCGCGACAGCCGAACCCAACCCAACCAGCCAGGTGCAACCGACCGCAACGCAGCTGAACCGACCGGACCGCGGACACCCTCGAGGAGGCATCCACGTCAGCGGCTGCTGGGTGTCCTGCCCAGTATCCCTGGAGAGCAGTGGGTTCGGATGCTTTCCCGCCCTCAGGGACGGGCGGACACCCACATCAACCACCACTCCTCAGCACGTCCTGATGTTCCAGGGAACGACTCCGGCTGCGAGGGATGTGGATGGGATCCGACAGCAGATCACGTGGACCCGAGGAATGGAAATCTGGCGAGCAGAGAAGAAGAGAGATGTGCACTTGGGCGAGGGAAAGCAACTGCCCAAAGACGAGAGCAACGGGACGCACAGACAGAGACCCACACAGGCATAGCTCCTAGAGATCATCTCACGAACCCTGCCCGTTAAAGCGATCCCCCCTTATCACCTGGCACAGTCAGTCTCTACCATGCTGTGCCCAATATGCCGCTCGCCGCAACTGGCCCTTGCATCAGCAACTTGCTCGTGAACAAACTTTCGGAGGTGCGCGCGGATTTCCCCTGCGGCGCCTCCGGCGCACCGCGCCAGAAAAGGGGGTTTCAGCGCCGATCCGCGAATCCGCGAGGACCTCCGAAAGCTTACGACTACGCAGTGATTCTTCTCCGAGGGAGGGCGCGCGGATGCCTGCGCCGTGGTCGTGTCGGGAGGGACGTATGGGACGTTGTGCTCGAACAGCTCGCCGGCGCAGCGAAGGGGGGGAAACAAATCGGCGAGGCACTTTTACGGCATCCACCACCTCGCGCCCCCGTCAAATACGAAGTCACGTCCAAAAGCCTCCATCATCGATCTTGGATCCTCATCGCGGCAGAAAAATGACTGTAGACTATCCTCCAGAGGTTCAATGACGGCAACAACAACAACAACGACAACACCACCAACAACAATAACAACAAAACAACAACAAACAACAACCAACCATCAGCAATCAACAACCAACAACCAACAACCGACAACCAACAACCAAAAACCACAACAACAACAACAACAACAACAACAACAACAACTACAACAACAACCGCAACAACGACAATCACAACAACAACGACGACGACAACAACAACAACAACCACAACCACAACAACAAGATGTTGAGGAGGAGAATGAAGGGGCGGAGAAAGATAAACACGAATCTGCGACTGAGTGGTGTACACTTATGTGTACGCGCACTGAGCCCCGCACACCCCCTGACACACACACACACACACACACACACACACGCACGCACGCACGCACGCACGCACGCACGCACCCACACACACTCACGCACACGCACGCACACGCACGCACACACGCGCACGCACACACGCGCACGCACTGAGCCCACCCGCACACGCACACCCGCACACACGCACACACGCACACCCGCACACATGCACACACACACACACACACACACACACACACGCACGCGCACGCGCACGCAACCACCAACAATAACAAAAAGAGCGAGGCGGCGCGAGCCTGCCGCCGAGGGGGACCGAGAGAGCGCAAGGCAAGAACAACAAGCCATGGGGAGGGTTTCGGCGCGCGCGAGCCGCGAACTGCGACAGGTGGCAGATCGAGACGGTGTAGACCCCCGCGGAGAGGTCCCAGGTCTCCTGCGCCTGTGCGGCCCGGAGCCTCCGCGGGAGCCACTGCCTCCGCCTCGCCGTGCTCCTCGCCGCCCTACTCCTGCTGCCCTTGCTCCTCCTCCTCCTCCTCCTCCTCCTCATCCTCCTCCTCCTCCTCCTCCTGCTCCTGCTCCTCCTCCTCCTGCTCATCTGGCCCAGGTCTCCTGCGCCTGTGCGGCTCGGAGCCGGTAGTCGTTCGGTGGCGAATTGGGGGAGCCAGTGTACGCGCTCGACGCTCCGTTTTTTTAGTCCATCAGAGTCGGCTCTAGCGTCTGAGGTAGCCGGTGAGATAGCGCCGATGTTTCATCGACTCGCGTCGATCAGTCCGTTTTTAGTCAATTAGCGTCGGCTAGTGTCTGGTAATCGATGGGGCAGCACCGATGTTGCATCGATCCGCTTCGCCTAGCGTCGATTGGCGTCGATGTAGCGTCGATTCGCGTCGACTGGCGCCGATTAGCTTCGATTCGCAAGGGCTAAAAGGACGGCATGGGAGGCTCCCATGAGTTGTCACCGAAGAGTCGGCCGACATCAAACAGTCTGTGCCGTCCCAGGAGCATGAACTGGTGCAACAATATGGTGGGGCAAACGTTATACCCCTAAGACTGTTTCTCGATTACGCCAGGATAGATGGGCATGCTTCCGCGCTCAACATATACGCGCCTTCTGGCTGCCGCCGATGCCACAGGGAGAGTGGAGGCGAAGGAGGAGGAGGAGGAGGAGGAGGAGGAGGAAGAGGAGCGGTTCCAGAAGCCGACGCCATCGCTGGGCGGGTTCACACGACTGCAGATTCGCGCCCAGGCTCCCCCGGAGCAGGCCGGCCCCGGCAGGTTCGAGGAGGGAGAGGATCGCGCCGCAGTGCACCAGCGATGCACCGTCGCTGTCGGCGATGCATCGGCGACGTCGAAGTGAAGCAAATCGGGCTGCACATCGAGCCGCATCGGCGATGCATCGGCGATGCGGCGCAGTCCTCCGACCCCGTCTGCCCCGACCCCATCCAGGAGGCCCAGAGAAACGGAAAGAGAGAGAGAGAGAGAGCACAAGAAACTGGACACAGACAAGTGATGGAGGGTGCGCCGCTGGATCTCCCCAAAGGGGGGGGGGTTAGGACCCCCCCCCCCTTCCCCGATCCTTTTCGTCGGGCGACCCCCCACCCCCCCGTCCTCCCCCCCTTCCCGATCCGTCGTCGGGAACCCCCCCCCCCTCCCCCCCTTTTACCCCGACCCGTCGTCGGGACCCCCCCCTTTCAAAAGGGGGGACGGGCGGTCCGACCACCCCCTCCCCCCCTTTCGCCAACGCCGCCCCCTGACTCCGGAAACCGGACCCGCCACCCCTTACCCCTAGTCCTCACCTAACCCAAACCCCTAATCCTAACCCCAACCACTAACCCCAGCCCCAAAGAGTACTCACTACTCATTACTCACTACCCACTACTGACTACTCCCTATTCGCTACTCACTTCTCACTACCCCCTACTCGCTACTCACGACTCACTACTCACTATCCACTACTCCCTACCCACCAGCCACTACGCGCTACTCACTACTCCCTACTCACTACTCCCTCCTCCCTACTCACTACTCACTACGCATTCCTCACTACCCACTACACAAGATTGGCTACTCACTAAGCACTACTCACTACTCCATACTCACTACTCACTAATCACTACTCATTACCCACTACCCACTATCAACTACTCACTACTCACTGCTACCTACTCATTGCCCACAAATCACTACTCAATACACACTACTCGCTACTCGCTACTCCCTACTCCCTACACAATACTGACTACACAGTACTCAGTATTCGCTACTCGCTACTCCCATACTCGCTACTCAATACTCACTACTCACTCCCCGCTACTCACTATTCACTACTCACGACTTACTACACCCCACTCACTAGTCACTACATAGTCTCTAGTCACTAGTCACAACTCACTAGTCGCTAATCACTAGTCACTACTCACTACCCCCACTATTCACCAATCGATACTCACTACCCACTATTCGCTACCCACTTCTTACTACTCACTGCTCACTACTCCCTCCTCCCTACTCCCTTCTCCCTAGTCACTACTCACTACTCACTACTCGCTACTCCCTACTCGTTACTCACTGATCACTACCCACTACTCACTACTGACTACTCTCTACTCACTACTCACTACTCACTACGCCCTACTCGCTCCTCACTATGCACTACTCGCTACTCCCTACTCGCTACTCACTACTCACTACAAACTGCCACTACCCACTACTCTCTATTCATCACTACTCACTACTCACTACTCACTACGCACTACGTACTACTCAGTACTCACTACTCACTACTCACTACTCACTACTCGCTAGTCACTACTGACTACTCATTACTCACCACTCACTACTCACTACTCACTACTCACTACTCACTACGCACTACTCACTACGCACTACACACTATCCACTACTCCCTACTCACTAATCACTAATCGCCACCCACTACTCACTACCCACTATTCACTACCCACTACTCATTACCCCCTACTCCCTACTCAGTACTCACTACTCGCTACTCGCTACTCACTACTCGCTACTCACTACTCGCCACACACTACTCACTTATCAGTACACACTACTCACTATTCACTACTCACTACTCCACACTCCCTACTCCCTACTCCCTACTCGGCACTCACTACCCACTACTCACCACTCCCTACTCCCAACTCCGTACTCCCTACACGAGGAGTGGGTGGGTCCGAACCCCCCCCCTTTCCAGCGCCAAGGAGGGGGGGGGGGTCCGGAACCCCCCCCCCATCAAGGGAGGGGGGGGTAGGTTCGGGACCCCCCCCCCCCCTTAAGGGGGGGAGGGGCGGAGGGGGGGGGGGTTCTGGACCCCCCCCTCCCCCTTTAGTGTATTCAGGGAGATCCACTGGCGCACTTTCCAAATGATGGGCCTGTTGTCCACCACCACCACCACCACCACCATAACCATAAGTTGGAAGGGGGGAGGAGGTCCCCCTCCCCCTCTTCTTCTTCCTCCTCCTCCGCCTCATCCTGCACCTCCTTCCCCCATTCCAACTCATGGTGGTGGTGGTGGAAAACAAGCCCACCAACAAACTCTCGGCGGTCCGCGCGGGCTTCTGGGGTCCAGCGCTGGACCTCCCCGGCGGCGCCTCCACCGCGAACCCTGGCGCGCTGCGGGCTCCTCCAGCAGGGGCGGGTCCAGCGCTGGTCCCAAGAAATCCGCGCGGACCTCCAGAAGTTGTTGTCTATGTCGTTGATATTGTCCTCTGGGAAGCAAGCAGGAAGAATAGCGTAGAAGGGAAACGGTGGAAAGGAAACAGTCGTCGTGCTACCATAGGATCAGCCAATGAGAAACTAACGGTTGTTTCCCCCACCTGCTCGAAACATGCACCAAAAACAGCCAAGATCTACTTCAGGGAGGGGGGGGAGGAGGAGCTGCTCGGGTCCGCGCCGATCGACAAAACAATGAATACGAGAACGTTCACCAAAGTGATCCTTGTTTCAGTGTCTTGACGGTGACCCCCAAAAAACAACCCAGAACACAAAAAAAAACAAAAAACAAAAAAAAACCTTAAAAAAACAAACAAACAAACAACAAAAAAAAAAAAAAAAAAAAAAACGAGGGCAAACCATCGGCCTGGAATCGATGATGCACCGGCGATAGACCGGGCGATGGGTCTCGATAGAGCGAGACGACGCCGCACGCCCCCGGGAAAGCCGGGCGGGGTGCCGAGCGCCAGTCGGCGAGGGGCGACGCGTGGCCCCCTCCGGAAAGCGGTCGAGAGGCCTCTGGCACACAGCGCGAGCGCGGGGGGGCGAGACGGGCCGAAAGTCAGTACGTCAGGTTCGTGTCGTGCCGACTTTGGCGCTGGTTTCTGACACCGCGGGGATCGTTCAACCTTGAACGATCGGCTGTTTCCGAAACGTCCAAATCGTTCCACATCGAACGATTCTGGGACGCCCGCGGCGTTAAAAGTTGAACGCCGCTGGCGGGGTCGCCGCCGGTCGACACGACACGAACCTACCGTACAGTGGAGGCCAGTCCACAAAGAAACAGTCCACAAGGAACTCAACCCCGAGACCCCAGGGCGCCCACTGGTTTCTGGTGTGGGAGCGGCGCGCTCTCCACGGCAACACCGTCGAAACCCGAGAAACCCAGGGCACCCTCGAGGCGAGCAGGGTTTTTCTTGGCATGGGCCCCCAGTGTTGATTTATCACAGGGGTGCCTGGCATGCTGAATGTTTGGTTGTTGTTGATGGTTCTTTTTGAGACTCCCCCCGGGGCTTCGGCCGATCCCGCTGGCCACGTGGAAAGCCGCACAGGCACCTCGACTTCCAGAAAGAATCCTCCCCAGACGGCCCAAGATGGTCCCAAGACGGCCAAGAGAGGCCAAGGTGGCCTCCAATATGCCTCCATGACGGCCAAGGTGGCCCCAAGAGGGCCCCAAGACGGCCCGAGAGGCCTCCAAGACGCCCAAGATGGCCTGCAAGGCGACCCTGAAGCGCCCCAAGAGAGCCGCAAGACGACCGAGAGAGGCTCCCAAGACGGTTCCGAACGGCGGTCATGACGGGCCAGGAACGCGTTAAGACGGCCAAAAAAAAAAAGAAAAAAAAAAAAAAACCAAAAAAAAAAAAACAAAAAAGCAAAAATAAAAAGAAAGAAAAAAAAAAGAAATTTTTTTTGCAAAAAAAAAAAGAGAAACAAAAAAAGAAAAAAAAAAAAAAAAAAAAAACGAAGAAGAAAAGAGAGAGGCCCCCAAGAAGCGCCCAGAGGCCACCCAAAGAGGTCCGAGGAGGCCCCGAGAGGCCTCCAAGAGGCCCCCAGGAAGCTCGAGGACCGACGGGACCGAGGTAAGAGGAATCGAGGTTCGAGGATCAAGAGTTCGAGGACCAAGAGGATCGAGGATCAAGACGTTCGAGGCTCCGCGGCATATCGAGCTCGAGGCTCCAGGAAGCGAGGACGTTAGGGCACGTGGCGCCCGCCGCCTGTGGGGCCTGGGCCCCTGGAGGCCCCCACTGACCCTCCTCTCCTCCTCCTCCTCTCCTCCTCCTCCTCCTCCTCCTCCTCCTCTCCCCATCCTACCTCCTCCTCACTCCTCCTCACTCGTCCCTTCCTTTTTTTCCTCGCCTCCTCCTCCTCCTCCACCTCCTCCTCCTCCTCCTCTCCACCTTCCTCCTCCTCCTCCTCCTCCTCCTCCTCCTCCCCCCCCCCCCCCCCCCATCACCCTCCCCCTCACCTCTCAGGCTCCGGCAGAGCTGGAGCTAAAAGCAGTGCTCCTCGCTCTCGTTGTGCTGTCGTTGTCCCTCGCTTTGCCTTCAGTTCCGCCCCCTGCTGCAGCACGGAATCGAAACGACGACGGCCCACGAGGTCGCCACAACGGCTCCCCCGGGGACCTCCTGGCACGTCCCGGAGAACCCTGGAGGCACATCGGCGGGGAATCGACGCGTCGGCGCCTGCTGCGCCGGCGCGGTGGCGGGGCGCGCCGCAGACCGCCGAGCAGGGGAACGAGGCGCCCGCGCTCATCCTTTGGCCTGCAACGGGTCGCGTTGCCTCTCCCTGTAGCAATGCCCGAACTACGCGTCGACGAGCACAGCCTTTGCCGTACCGTGCGGCAAATTCTCGCTGCGTGCAGCCAGCCCCATGGCGTCCGCAGTGGCGCCGTGAGTCTAACAATGGCGCCACGCAAGTTCACCGAATGCGGCCTATGAAAAGAACTAACTACGTGCTTCTGGGTATTTCCTCCTGCATCCTCTGGCCCGACGGGCCACAGGCGTGCTCGATGCTCCAAGTCGGTGGGTGGCTCAGGAAATGCGGATGTGGAATGAATCTGCATACTGGTGCCACGCGTACGATTCTCGCGCATAGGATCTAGACAGGCACAGGCACAAGATTCGTGGTGAAGGGAGAAAGGAAGGGAGGGTTGAGGGAAAACATAAGAATGACAGAAGACGAAGCAGGCAAGAGCAATGCGGACAGATGGAGGACATGATAAGGAGAGGCGGGAAAATGAATGAGCGAGGACGGTATGGAAAGGAGGCAGGGACATGGGAAGGAGGAGAGGTGAGGGGGCAGGAAACACGAGGAGGGAGGGAACAAGGATGATGGGAGGAGCGACAGAGGAGCAGGAAAGTAGACGAAGGAGGCAGCAGACAGACGTCGACAAACGGAAGAGGCTCTACACTCCTTCTCCTCCTCCTCATCCTGCTACTACCTGGTCTACACATCCAGAGTATATTGCTAGGAACGGGGCCTCGGCGGCTCATCTTTGGACGCTCCATGTTCCGAATTCCATTGGGCTCATCTTCAGCCGAACAGTGTGAGACGTTCCTGAGGTTTTCTGGGGCAATATTTGGCACACAAAGGCTTGGTGGGGTCGATTGGAGATCTCCGGAGGCGACGCCAGGGCCAGGGCCAGGGAAACGTTGCAACACCTTCGGCCTCACCGTCTTACAAACCAGGAACGGTCCGAACCGAATGGGTGGCCGTGCTCTGGCGGTTCTTGGGATCTGGCCGAGTGACAGGGGAAGCGGCCCGAGCCCGCGAGCCGAAACTCTGCGCGGCCAAATCAGACCCTGGACCATCTATCTCATATCCGTCCGTCGATCCGTCCATCCATCCGTACCTCCATTCATCCATCTAGTCCTCCCTCCCACCCCACGCCCACGCCCCAAAGACCCATCCCCCTCGCTCCCACGCAGCCTCCCCCCGCCCCCACAGGAGCCCCCCCCCACTCCCACAGGAGCCCCCCGCCCCACTACCGCGGGGGGGGGGGGGCGCCGGTGCGCCCGGTAACAAAACCCCTCCGGAAAGAGAGAGAGGGGGGGGTCCAGGTCGTCGGCGGCATCTGGTGCGCCCTGTACGAAACCCCCCGGGAAGGCGGGGGGGAGGTTCGTGCCACGGGGCACCGCCGACATACATAGATACATACATACATACAGACAGGCAGGCAGGCAGGCAGGCAGGCAGGCAGGCAGGCAGGCAGACAGACAGACAGACAGACAGATATACATCCATCCATCCGTCCATCCATCCATACATAGATACATAAATGCATGCATGCATGCATAGATACATACATACATGCATACATACACATACATACATACATACGTATGTATACACATGCATTAACATACATACATACATACATGCACGTGCCCATATACACATACATACATACATACAGACAGACAGACAGACAGACATACAGACATACATACATATATCCATGCATGCATGCATGCATGCATACATACGTGCATGCATACCTGCAAATACACATATACAAACCTACACGTATACATGCATGTGTGCACTCATAGAAAACATAGGAGTATGCATGAGTACATGCATACATAAATACATGTGTGTGCATGTATGCCAATACATATATACATGTGAATATGTACATATATATGAGCGTATCTATGATTGCGCCTATATACATACACATGCCTTCACATACATACATACATACATACATACATACATGCATACATACATCCGTGTATTCATACATGCATACATGTGTACACATAGACGAAAATACAAACATATACAGTGCATGCGTACATGCATGTATACGCAGTCAGTCATGCATACATGCATGCAAACATACATGCATACATACATGTATACCTGCATACGTACATACATACATACATACATACATACATACATGCATACATACATCCGCCAGCATACATACGTACATCCATACATAGATGCACATATCTATATATATATAGCAAACATACACGCCAGTAAAAACTGTGCATAACATACATACATGCATACATGCACATACATGCAAGTATGCGTACCTACATGCATGGATGCATGTCTGCATACAGACATATGTACCTACATAGCTACATGAATATATATATATATATATGTATATATATGTAATACATACATGCATGCATACCTACAGACACACATACATACACACGTACATACAGTTCACGAGCGAGGGCGCCCGTGGGGGGTCTGATGACAAAACTGTTCCACACAGCGAGCCAAGAACGGGCAAAAGCTCCGAAGAGCGCGAGCCAAAGCGTCTCAGAACCCATGCTGGCCCCAGGACCCCAATATGATCCCAAAGTGTTACCGACATGGCCAAAACTCCCAAAATGAAAAAGACCTGATAACAACTGGCAGAGCGTTTGAATTAAATGTGTGTTTCTCACCTTTGCGAGCTCTACTGTGCTTCCCGGCCCCCGAGGTGGCCCGAAGAGGCAACATAATAATCCGAAGAGGGCCCCAAAACTCCGCAAGAGGGCCCCAAGGGGCCTCCAAGAGAGCCTCCAAGAGCGGCCCAAGAGCGCGAGTCAATCGGCGCCAGGCCGTAAGATGGCTCCAACGTGGCCCCCAAACGCCCCAAGATGGTGCGCTGGTGGCCACGGGATGCCCAAGATGGTCTAACGAAGGTGCGCCCCTCGGCGACCCCTGTCAGGGGTCACCCGAGGGGCGCAATCCAATTGAAAGCCACAGGGGACACAAGCCAGATTGGCTCCAGGGGACTGAAGCCGGATTGGAAGCCAGATTAGAAGCTACAGGGGACTCAAACCGGATTGGCCCCAGGGGCCCAATCCAATCTGCCAGTCTGGCCTTCGACTACCCAGCCTGAAGGAAAAAGTATTGCAAACCCGCTGGTTCTGTGAGTGTTGGCTTTCTCGCCCCTGTAGTCTACAGTGAGCATCTTGGGAGCGGAGGTGGCCCCAAGAGGGCCCCAAGGGGCCCCGGGAGAGCCCCAAGCGACCCCAAAGATCGCACAACAGGGCCCCAAGAGAGACCAGAACACAAGAGCGCAGGTCAAAACGTATCCCAAATAACCATCCCAGAGTGGCAGAAGAGAGCGGCTTGGACTGTCAAAGTGATGTGGCTGAAGCGGCCTCCCTCGGAGGCTTCCAAAAAGGCCAAAATCAACGAAAACCACATGTCGGTTTGATGATGTGTGTCCCTTCTCGCCCCTGCGGGCTCTGGGACGCGCTTGCCCCAACGGGGGCCCGAGAGGGCCCAGGAGAGCCCTGAGAGGACCCGAGGTCCGACAGGAGGGCCCCAAAAAGAGCCCCAGAATGGCCAAGAACGGCCCATGCCAACATCTGGGATCAGTGGGCGGCAGGCCCCAAGATGGCCAGAAGGCGGGCCCAAGAACCCCAAAGATTGCCCCGAGGTGGCCCTACATTGTACAAGATTGCCGAAAACAGCCCCCAAGAAGCCTCAGATGCCACTCAGAGGCCCCGAAAGCCCCCAGAAGCCTCGAGGCCCCAGAGAGTCCTCCAAGATGCATGGTCTGCCCACAGAGGGTCTGACCAAAATCAACACCTGGATGGATATGTTTACTGATTATGGCCTTCTCGCATCTTCGGGCAACAATGGCGAAAACAATGTGAGGCGGATTCCGCGTTGCCCTCAGTCTACCAAGACGACTTCCTCCAACGCGAGCTTCATAGGATAGTTTTGGGAAAGCATCCCAACAATTCACCAATCCCACAAACACACACGAGCAGTGTAACGATAATGTAGAATGGTCTGGTGGAGTGCGCGAAGCGGCTGGAATTATAGAGTGTAAAAAAGTTCCTGCCAGGCAGGGACAAAGGTGCCCTGGGGAGAAGGGGACAGAAAAGAAACGTATCCAGATTCACCGAATACGGGAAAAAAGGCATCGAATTTGAGAAGTGCACGATTCGCAGCGCCCAAGAGGAGGCAATATAGGCCACTCTGGCCGCTTCGCACCCGCTGTCAGCGATCGCTGCTGACCAATCTGGTCTACGATTTGGCGTTCCCTTCCGTCTTCTCTCTTCCTCCCCCCTCGCGCTTGTCCTGCCCTATCCCTCCTCTCCTTCTCGCCAAGCTCCTCCCTCTGCAGCCTATTCTTCTCCGCTTCCCCCCCTGGAGCCACAGCGGCTCAGGCCCCGTTGAGCCATTTTTGGGCTCACTGGTATGGGGCGCAGTACACTGGAGAGGAGCGAACCAGAGTCGGAATCGGCCCATCCCATACGTCAAGTCAAGGGTCTCGCCCCCTTCCAGCGTCCCCCGTCATTCCCTCCTCCCTCCTCCTCCTCCTCCTCCTCCTCCTCCTCCTCTTCCTCCTCCTCCTCCTCCTCCTCCTCCTCCTCCTCCTCCTCCTCCTCCTCTTCCTCCTCCTCCTCATCCTCCTCCTCCTCCTCATCCTCCTCCTCCTGCTCCTGCTCCTCCTCCTCCTCCTCATCCCACTCCCGAACCTCCAGAAAGCCATCCTGGTCGGCCGTGCGAGCTGCATGCGGCCGCCCGTGGCCACGAGGTCCCCCAAGGGAGGCCCGAAAAGGCGGCCCGCACCAGAAACATCATGCAGCCGCAAGAGGCTACGAACCCACGGCCCCACCACGACTGGCGCGGCCACGGGAGACCCCAGGCCACAGGGAGGCCACAGGAGGCCACATCCTACGGCCTGTTGTGGCCCGCAGCCTGTCGCCTCCTGTCGGCTACACGCACGAGTCACCCTAGGCGCAAGAGTGATCCTTCGTGCGCAGCTCCAGCGAAAGGCCACTCTCACGTGCAGCCCATCCTGTCGCGAGGCCTCCATTATTTCTTCCTCCTCCTCCCTCCTCCTCTCTCCTCCTCCTCTCCTCCTCTCCTCCTCTCCTCCTCCTCCTCC